GACTTCTACGCTGGGCGATTCGGGGGAGCCACCAATACTCCCTTCAAGGCTGTCATCTGGATTCTCTGGGCTGGCTGATCTCGCCTTGCTGTTTCTCGGAGAGATGACTATCTGCCACGGCTCCTCTTCAATTGGTGAATATTCTGGGTTTTGTTGTACAGACTGCGGAGTTTCGTGTACTGGAACAGGTGTTAGTTCATTTTCAACCCCCTTGATTTCCCTTCCCCCCCTGGTTTGGAGTTCAGGGTGTGTGAAGGGGGTAGGTGTCATCCTTGAGTGTAGTTGGTCGATGTGGCGTTTCCATAACCTCCCATCTGTGGTTTCTAGTCGGTAGGAACGGGGGCCCGTACGTTGTGTTATTTTGGCAGGGACCCACAATGGGTCACCGGTAAAGTTTTTTGCAAATACCGGGTCACCTACCTTAAATGTGCGACATTTGCTGCTGGAACCCAGGGGCTTTTCTGGCGTGTAGGCAGGGTGCAGATGGTCGAGATGTGATCTAAGTCTCCTGCCCATCAGGAGTTCGGCTGGGCTTTTGTTTGTGGTGCTGTTTGGAGTAATATTTATTTATTTTATTTATTTATTTATTTGATTTGCCAATTGTTTACAAGATAATAAGTATAAGAGTATACATAGTTGTGAAAACATGAAATGGGTACATATATGAAAAATAAAAGAATAAGAGAAACAATAGGACAGGGACAGTAGGCACGTTGGTGCACTTATGCACGCCCCCTAGTTGGTGCGCTTATGCACTTCCCCTCCAATATGTTGGAGGAGAAGCATCCTGGTGACTTTGTCGTGGATATTTCCTTGCTCGATTTTGTGTAATGTTTTCTTTGTGAACTGGACCATTCGTTCAGCCCTACTGTTGGCTGCAGGGTGAGCCGGCGATGTTAAGGCATGGCGTATCCCTCGGTCTGCTAGGTACTGTTCGAACGCCAAAGCGGTAAATTGTGGGCCGTTGTCTGAAACCAAGACTTCTGGTAAGCTGTGTGTTGCAAACAGTCTATTTAATTTTTTAACAACTGCTTCTGTGGTGGTGTTCTTCATTTTGTGGACCTCGAGCCAGTTTGAATAGGCATCTACTATTATTAAAAAGGTATGTCCTTTGGTAGGTCCTGCAAAATCGATGTGGATGCGGGACCATGGGCCCCTGGGCGTTTCCCATTCCGTTGGTGGTGCTTTTGGTGGAGCTGAATCTGTTTCCTGGCATTTGTTACAGGTGACTACCCAGGTTTCAATTTGACCGTCCATACCTGGCCACCAGGCGTAGCTCCTTGCTAGTGCCTTCATTCGTACGATGCCCGGGTGTCCATCATGCAGTAGTTTCAAGACTTTATTTTGTAGCCTTTCTGGGATGATGACTCTGTCTCCCCATAACACGCACCCTTTTTGGGAGAAAAGTTCTGTCTGTCTGTTTTTGAAAGGTTTAAATGTGTCGTTGGGTTCGATTTCAGGCCAACCTCTTTCCACCCAGCTGAGGACCCGCGCCAAACAAGGGTTCTTCCTTGTTTCCGATGCGATGTCTTGCGCAGTTAGTGGTGGTGAAGTAAGTGTCTCAATTTGTAGTGTGGATAGGGTTGGAGCTGGATCGTCTAGGAATTCAGGTAATGGTGAGCGGCTTAAGGTGTCAGCATGGGGAATGGCTTTCCCCGGTCGATGTCTTAATTGGTAATCGTATGCGGCTAGAAATTCCGACCAGCATGTCATTCTTGGCGATAGGATGTGGGGAGTTGGTTTATCCCCTGCCAAAATGCCAAGCAATGGTTTGTGATCGGTGATTATAGAAAAGGATCTTCTATATATGTACTCGTGAAATCGTTTGATTGCACATACAATAGCGAGGGCCTCTTTATCTAATTGGCTATAGTTTCTCTCAGTTTTAGATAAAGTTCTTGAAAAAAATGCAATAGGCGCCTCCGTACCGTTTGGTAGGACGTGGCTCAGAATAGCTCCTACTCCAAATGGTGAGGCGTCGCAGGTTACAGTGAATGGTAGTGTCTCGTTGTATTGTATCAATACAGCGTCTGATGTTAAGAGGTCTTTTACTTGCTGGAAAGCCTGTTCTTCCCGATGTCCCCAGAACCAGGAAGCCTTCTTGTCTAGGAGCCTATGCAGGGGTTCAGCAACAGATGCCTTCTGGGGTAGGAAGATGTTATAAAAGTTAATGAGTCCCAGGAAGGCTTGGAGATCTGTCTTATTCCTAGGTCTTGGGGCGTTTTTTATTGCAGCCAATTTTTTTTCAGTAGGGTGAATTCCTTGTTTGTCAATAAGGTAACCAAGAAATTCAACCCTCTCAGTGCATAGTTGGCACTTTTCCTTCTTTACTTTTAGGCCTGTGTCTTTGAATTTTTGAAGGACCGTTCTTAGACGTTTTTCTAGTTGACTTCTTGTGGGGGCGGCTATCAAGAAATCATCGAAGTATGGTACAACCCCTTTTATACCCTGCAGCAATCTCTCCATCAAGCTTTGAAAGATGCCAGGTGCTACGCTCACTCCGAACTGGAGTCTGTTACATTTGAACGCACCTCTGTGCGTGACTATAGTTTGGGCTTCTGCGGTCTCTGCATCTACGGGTAGCTGCTGGTACGCTTGGGCTAAATCAAGCTTTGCGAATACCTTTCCGCCCCCGAGTGAGTGAAGAAGGTGTTGGACCACGGGCATGGGGTAGGCGCTCTGCTGTAGTGCGTGGTTCAGGGTGGCTTTGTAATCCCCACAGATTCTCAAAGATCCATCTGGTTTTATGGGGGTTACAATTGGGGTCTCCCATCGGGCGTGGTCGATGGGTTCTAATATGCCCTGGGCTATTAACTTGTCCAATTGTTCATCAATCTTTGGTTTGAGCGCGAAGGGCACTCGACGAGGCTTAAGGCGAATGGGCGCTACATCAGGGCAGAGATTAAACGATATAGGGGACCCCTTGTACTTGCCTAATTGCTCGGTGAAGACCTCTTGGAAGTCCCGGACAAGGGCCGCCTCCCAGTCATCGCTTACGGTCTGGTTGATGCCTGCCAGCTTGATTCCTAGCGGCGCGAACCACTGCAAACCCAATAAACTGAGTCGGTCTTTGTCCACGACGGTGAGAGGTAGGGTTGCGGTGTGGTCTTTAAATGAGACTTTGACGTGACTGGAACCAACGACTGGAATCTGATTTCCCTGGTAGTCTTTCAATATAAGTTTCTGAGTGCTGAGATCCTGGAGGCGGATGTCAGGGATCAGCTGCTTGAGGGTTTTCCAGGAGACCATTGATAGAGAAGACCCGGAGTCGACTTCCATAACACATAGTCGTTTTTCAATGGTGACCCTTACCCGGATTTTCCTCGCATCAAGGGATGAGGCGTGGCCAATGGTGATGGTCTGGTGCGCCTCTTCTCGTCTGGTAGAGGTGGCTAGTGCTCGATTTCTGTTGTGGGGGTTCCATTGGTTGCTTGGGCAGTCCCGGTTTAACGGTGGGGTGCCTGTTGTTTGCCGGAAACTATTCTCTCTTCTGTTTGGGCTGGATCCTCACTGGCTCCTGCAGACTTTTGCAATGTGGCCCCTCTTCCCACAGGAACGACAAAGGGCGTCTAGGAACTTGCAGTTTGACCGCAGGTGGTTTCCCCCGCATCCAGCACATTGATCCGGGGGCTTTCGACCCTGCTGGCCTCGCTGATCGCGCTCCAATCTGAGTCTATTGACTTCCTCTTCCTCACTTTCTGATGAGGATTCGAGGTCTTCATGGTGGGTGGTCGTTGTGTGTCTCTCTAGAGGAAGGGCAGCGTCGCTGGCGAGTTGGCGATTGGTTCCATTCGCTTGGCGCATTCGGACTGCTGACTTCCTGGTTGCTTCTGCTGCAGTAGCATCGGCTATGACATCTGTGAGGGCGATGTCCCCCTTTGCCATAATCTTGCTTTGGGTGGTGAGGTCTCTCATGGCTTCTTCCAGATTTGCGAAACCACAGAGTCCACCCATTCCTGAGGTTCGCTATGAAGTCCCCAACGCTTTCGCCTTCCTGTTGGTCCCTCTGGTAAAACTCGTGTCTCCTGATGAGGGTTGGCACCGCTGGTGCATAATGGGCCCTGAGGATGGGAGCAAGGGTATCACAGTCCATTGTTTTGACTTCTGCCGGTTTGGCGAGTGCTTTTGCCATCTTGAAAACGGCGGGTCCGCAATGCGTTAGGAACACAGCTCGTTTCTTGCCAGGCGTAGCATCCTTCAGGTTATTGGTTTCCAGGAACATTTGAAACCTGTCCATATACGAGTCCCAGTCTTCGTTGGCTGGATCAAATGGAGCGGGTGGTATGGCGCCGCTGGTCATCTTGCCGCTATCGGTGTGCCTTCAGCCACGTGCTCTGTTAGTGTTCCGTGAGTGCTCAATCAGCTCTATCGTCTCCGCATCCCACCTTCGTCGCCAGTGTTGTCTGGGAGAGTGGGCGCAAGAACGGAGACGAGGCATCGAATAGTGACTCCAACTCTTTATTAGTGACTTCAGAACAGAGCGAAATACTCAGGCAGCAGCAGCTCCTTTTATAGAGCTGGCTGCTGTCAAAACATCCAATGATTTGAGTTTGCCGCACTTGGGGCGTCCAATCGCGGCGACCCGTTAACTAGCCAATCGGATTAGTCTAAAACGACCAATCACGACCGGCTATTCACGGACCAATCAAAAGTGCAGGATTACGAGCCTGCCGTGGAAGGAAAGCAATGAGAGTTTCAGGCTTACGAGCCTGCTAGTTCGGAACACTCCTGAACAACAAACAATGTCAGAAGCGTCTTACCTGGGCTAAAGAAAAACAGAACTGGTTTGTTGCTCAGTGGTCCAAAATCCTCTTTTCTGATGAGAGCAGTTTTTGCATCTCATTTGAAAACCAAGGACCCAGAGTCTGGAGGAAGAATGGAGAGGCACACACTGCAAGATGCTTGAAGTCCAGTGTGAATTTTTCACAGTCTGTGTTGATTTGGGGAGCCATGTCATCTGCTGGTGTTGGTCCACTGTGCTTCATTAAGTCCAGGGTCAATGCAGCCATCTACCAGGAGATTTTGGAGCACTTCATGCTTCTTTCCACAGGCGAGCTTTATGGGGATGCTGACTTCATTTTCCAGCATGACCTGCTCACACTGCCAAAAGCACCAAACCCTGATTCAATGACCATGGGATTACTGTGCTTGATTGGCCAGCAAACTCGCCTGATCTGAACCCCATAGAGAATCTATGAGGCATTGCCAAGAGAAAGATCAGAGACATGAGACCGAATAATGCAGAAGAGCTGAAGGCTGCTATTGAAGCATCCTGGTCTTTCATAACACCTCAGCAGTGCCACAGGCTGATAGCTTCCATGCCACACTGCATTGAGGCAGTAATTGCTGCAAAGGGGGCCCAAAACAAGTACTGAGTACATATGCATGCTTATACTTTTCAGAGATCCGATATTGTTCTATGTACAATTTTTGTTTTATTGATTGCATGTAATATTCTAATTTTCTGAGATTGTGGATTTGGAGTTTTCATGAGCTGTAAGCCATAATCATCACAATTATGACACATCATGGCTTGAACTATCTTGCTTTGCATGTAATGAGTCTATCTCATATATTAATTTCACCTTTTAAGTTGCATTACTGAAATAAATGAACTTTTGCACGATATTCTAATTTTTCAAGTTTCACCTGTATCTCACTAAGATGTTTGGGCAATTGTAGCTATAAATATCTACTTAAATTCTTTAAGGTACTATTCAGGAGTCAGCATGATGCTCATATATACCCTTTGATACTGTTTAAGTTCTTGCACTTCAGCTTGTGTTATAGTATAATGTTGAAACTATTTCCTCTCTTCACACCCAAGCTTCTGATATGCCACATGGGCTTTGCAGTTACATTTTTCCTTTAATACTTATTTTCCAAACCTCTTTATATTATGTTACATAGAAAATGAATTCTCTATCATAAGGATCTAACAGTATTAGAAAGGAAATAGCTTGTGTTTCCTCATTTGCAACAGTGAGATCTTTCAGTGTGTTCTGGACTATATTCTCAATGATTTTTTTCATAATCATAAATGAATAAAAAAAACCCAGGAAGTTCTTACATTATATTTGACGTTTTCCTCAAAAGCTCTTTGTTCCTCAAAGTTAGGTTCTGTTCCAGACAAGTACTTTTCAGACTCTGCTTTTCTGCTTCAAAATCTTCTCATAATCAAAATTATGACCAAAAGATTTTTGAATATAATTCAATCTTCTGAATATAATTCAATTTTCTGCAGCAATAGTTTGAATAGCATGCTGTAGTAAGCAAACATTTTTTGCAATTCAACCCTTCCACGAGATTCAATACTGACAAATACTCAAACTTGTTTGATGTTAACTGTGCTCTAATTTCAGAAAAATCAAGCATTTTTCAAACAGTAC